GGGTGTGCTGCTGATTCCTCGGCAAAGGTCTCTCTGTGGCCAGTGTGGACATCCTCCTGATAGAGTGGCTGGTTTAGGAGGATGATATCCCAGGAAACAGTGTTCCAAGAGAGAGGAAGTGGAAACTGCCAGGTTTGCTAAGGCCTGAGCCTGGAAACACGCATCGGCCCACGTTTGTACTGTATTGATTGAGCAGTCCCAGAGGTCAGATTTTAGGAACCAGGAACACAGAACTCTTAGCTCTTGATCGGATGGAGGAGTATAAACAGTTTTGGAGCCATGCTTTCAACTGCTATAATGATAGGGGAATATTGCCATTCTTAATTGATAAGGTTAATTTGCTTCAAGGGGAGAATAGTGTTGAAACTTGGAGACAGTGATATTATTTCTATTCAGATACTATTTTCCAGTACAAATGTGTGTGTTTTTTTATTTTTTCACAACTTTTTGAAGTATTAAAAACAGTATTTGCAAGACATATGTGAGGAAAACTAGAAGACTCTGATGAAAGAATAAGAAGAGTAATGAATGTATATGGATAGGAAGACACGATATTCTTAAGATGTAAGCTCTGTTAGCTTGATCTATAGGCTCAGGAGCAACCATTGTCAGAACCTCTGTAGATACTAAGAAACTTATTCTAAGTTTATATAGAAAGTCAAATGATACCAAATACGGAATATCATAATGAAGACGAATAACAAAGTCAGAGGAATGACACTCACTTCAGTATTCAGTGCAGAGCCACAGCAATCAGGACACTGGGGGGGGGGGGGGGGGAGTCAAGGGGCACAGGTCAGTGGGCAGAATTGGTAGCCCAGAAGCAGACTCTGAAATAGAGTCAGTGGTGTTTGGGAAAGGAGCAAAGGCAATCCAGGGGAGGAGAGAGCGGAGGTGGGACTGGGGCTTACCCACATGCCGAGAATGAATCTACACACTGGCCTCATGCCTCCACAAACGTGAACGCAAGATGGATCCTAGGCCTAAATGTAGGAGGCAAAACTACCAAACTTCTGGAAGATAACATAAGAGAAAATGTAGGTGACTTTGATTTGCTGCTGAGTTTTTAGCTATAACACGACATGCACGATCCATGAAAGAAAAAATTAGATGAGTTGGACTTCATTGAAATTATAAATTTCTCCTCAGTGAAAGACACTTTAAGAAAGTGAAAAGACCTGCAGAGAGAATGTTTGTCAAACACATACCTGATAAAGAGATCTAGCCACAATATACAAAGAACTCTTAAATTCAACAATAAGAAAACAAATGACTTAATTAAAAAATAGGCAGAAGGACTGAACAAACACCTCACCAAAGAAGATATGTAGATGGCAAATAAGCATATGAAAAGGTACCTCAACATATGTCCACAGGGAACTGAAAATTAAAACAACACTGAGATGCCACTACACATCTATTAAAATAGGTAAAATCCCAAGTAGTGACAGCACCAAACACTGGCAAGAATGAAGTGTGATCAGTAAGTCTTTTTTTTAAAAAAAATATACTTTTATTATTATTTTTTTTAGAGATAGAGAAAGGGAAAGGGATAGAGAGGTAGAAATATCGATGAGAGAGAAACATCAATTGGCTGCCTTCTGCACATTCCATACCGGGGATCGAACCCACAATCTGGGCATGTGCCCTGACTGGGAATCCAGCTGGTGACCTCTTGGTCCCATGGGCCACCGGCCGGGCCTGACCAGAAAGTCTTATTCATGCTGGTGGGATGCAAAATGTACAACTACTTTTGAAGACAGTTTGTCAGTTTCTTACAAAACTAAACAGTCTTTTTTTTTCTATTTATTGAATGTATTTGGATGACATTGGTTAACAAAATTACACAGGTGTCAGGTGCACAGTTCCACAACACATCATCTATACCAGTGATGGCGAACCTTTTGAGCTCGGTGTGTCAGCATTTTGAAAAACCCTAACTTAACTCTGGTGCCGTATCACATATAGAAATTTTTTGAAATTTGCAACCATAGTAAAACAAAGACTTATATTTTTGATATTTATTTTATATATTTAAATGCCATTTAACAAAGAAAAATCAACCAAAAAAATGAGTTCGCGTGTCACCTCTGACACGCGTGTCATAGGTTCGCCATCACTGCCCATACTCTCCCCCACCTTCCCCTGCGCACCCTCCCCCAGCAATCACCAAAATGCTATCAGTGTCCATGAGTTTTCTCTCTTTTTTTCTTTTGTGCTCAATCCCTGCACCCCCCAACCTCCCCCCCAACAGCTGTCAGCCTGCTCTCTGTCTCTGAGTCTGTCTCTGTTTTGCTTGTTAGTTCGTTTTGTTCATTAGAACATACAGTCCAGCAATTGTGTTCTTAGGGATTTGCCCAAATGAGTTACAAAAACCTGTGCCTGAGTGCCTCTAGCAGAAACAACCCAAATGCCCATCAGCAGATGACTGGATAAACAAATGTGGTAGATACGTTTTTGAAAGTTTAAACTCCTTAGATTTTTAAAGAAAAACAGATTATGAGTTTAGAAATTATTATGTAGCATTTCCATAGGGGATTATTAAACTTGAACTATACTCATTTTCATTTATTAGAATCAAACTCATCACTAGATGAAACTTTAGAGCAACAAGTTCTCATTTTACAAATTTACAAAGAGTGAAATTGAGATGCAGAGAAGTTAAGTGATTTGCTCATAGACACAACTAGTAAATAATAAAACCAGAGTTAGAAATAAGCTCTCTTGATATCCATATCATTTTCTTACAGGAAACTTGACCGAAAAGTACATATAATAAATGGCTTGTACACTCAATAATGGTCATTGATAATAACAGTCATAGCCCTTAGGAATCTGTAAGAGACCTGGCTATGTGAACAAGCCAGCTGACAAAACAAATAGTGGACAGAGGTAAACTACTGAGGCAAATAAAGTTTCTGATTTTCTAAAAAATGGGAACTAAATAGCAAAGTGAAATTACCATTTGTTTACTGATGACTGCAGATTAGTCATCCCTACATGTACACTTAACTTTCTAGTGTTATGATACATTGCCCAGTAAAATATGATTACTAACATTTTGGCAATCTTTGCTTTTGGCTATTGTGAATAATGCTGCAATGAAATTGGTGCACAAATATCTGTTTGAGTTCTGCTTTCAATTCTTTTGGGTATATACTCAGAAGTGGAGTTGCTGGATATTATGGTAATCTGTTTAATTTTTAAAGAACTGCCATACTGTTTTCCGTGGCAGCTGCATGATTTTATGTTCCCACCAGTAACATACAAAGCTTTCAGTTTCTCCATATCCCACCAACACTTGTTTTTATATCCATCCTAATATATGAAGTAGTATCTCACTGTGGTTTTGATTTGCATTTCCCTAGTGCTTAGTAATGTTGATCATATCTTTCTGTATTTATTGGCTACTTGTAGGTTTTTGGATAAATGTCAGTTCAAGTATTCTTCCCATTTTTAATTGGGTGCTTTGCTTTTTGTTGTTGTTTGATTCCCTCTTTTGAAACCTAAGAATTATCCCTACTTACTGATTTGTAGAAGCTCTTGAATCTATTTTGGATATTGAGCCTTTACTTTCTCATTTTGACAATATTTTCTTCTTGTTATGTTTTATTCTTCATTTACAGTACCTGTGGTTTAGAAGTTTTTATGTAGTAGCTTCTGTCATTTTTTTCCTTTATACTTTCTGGGTTTTGATCTTAATAATGTTTTATACTCTAAATTATTAAAAATATTGCCTTTACTCCTACCATTTCGTTGATGAGACTTTTTACAGACTAACCAGCAAGTAGATATTTGCTCTATAATTCACATTTAATTTGAATTTAACCATAGATTATATTTTGTAGATATGACAAATTCAGTGCTGTGTTCATAATGAACTCTGGATCCGTGCTACTTTAACTATCAACATTTGGAGGAAAGTGTTTTCCCACAGCTGAGACTTGACTTTTTAAAAATCAGGACAGCAGTCAAATTGTTGCCTTTATGCTTAGAAATTAGTCACCTAAATAACCCCTTGTCACACATAAAGTCATATGGGTGCGCTCACATGTTTTGTGTGCTTTTTACTTAAGTGGTTTTTTCCTGAAGTAAATTGTATGAATATATTGTTTCAAATAATCAAAATCCCCATATGTGCTCTCTTTGCAATCTAACCTATCTTAAGAGGTTTTTTCTTATAAAATTTTTAATTGTGACATTTAATTCTTTCTGCTAGATGTTAAATAAAAACATTTTTCATCTTTTATTGTGTTACCTTTTAAATATAGTCTGATTGAAATATGAGAATATTTTGTCTGTGTCTTTGTTTATAATAGCTGTCTGTTTATAGAAAATGATATAATAGCTTTATTTTATGATTAGTTGGATACTAATTTAAAATTATGAAAGATATCTATAAAGTACATATACTTTTTTTTTATATTTTATTGATTTTTTACAGAGAGAAAGGGAGAGAGATAGAGAGTTAGAAACATCGATGGGAGAGAAACATCGATCAGCTGCCTCCTGCACACCTCCCACTGGGGATGTGCCCGCAACCCAGGTACATGCCCTTGACCGGAATCGAACCCGGGACCCTTCAGTCCGCAGGCCGACGCTCTATCCACTGAGCCAAACCGGTTTCGGCAGTACATATACTTTTTAAAAAATATATTTTTATTGATGTCAGAGAGGAAAGGAGAGGGAGAGAGAGAGATAGAAACATCAATGATGAGAGAGAATCATTGATCGGCTGCCTTCTGAATGCCCCACATTGGGGATCGAGCCCACAAACCGGGCCTGTGCCCTGACCAGGAATCAAACCGTGACCACCTGATTCATAGGTCGACGCTCAGCAGACAGAACTAATGGGGGAGGAAAGTGACTCCTGTGACCTCCTCTCTTCCTATTTCTCTTTATAAGGTAGTGTTGTTAGAGTAGCTTGTCTCTGTGATGTTTGTCTGCCTCTCTTGTCCGTGTGCGTGGATCATTTTTTAATTTAAAATTTTGCACTGCAGGTCGTTGAGCACTTCCACATGGAGGTTGGCACAGGACCAAACTCGAGACTCGCAACTCATAACAGTTGATGAAAAATTGGTAAGAATTTTTTATATACGCTGCTAGGATTCTGCCTTCAGGGTTATTCTTGTACAAGAGATTTTAAGAGGGGTGTTTTGTGGGAAGTGATGTGAATTTGACTGTCCGAATTGTATGTAAATTTACTTTAAGAAATATTTGTCACAAAATGATAAAGATAATTTATGTTAAGCATTATACACAAATATTAAGTCATACAAATATTGAGAAATTAAAATTACAAAAGGCTTCCATTTTTTGGTGTTTATAAGTAGCAATTAGAACATTTTTATTTTTATAATGCATGCATTATTTTTTATTTTCTCGGTTATACTATTTAATTAAATTGTAAGGTACCAGTACTATTTAAAATTAAGTATATTGAGTTTTTCTGGAATCAGTTGTTTTTCTGTGTATACATTCCATTTCACATTACACATGAGAGATTACAACTAGCAACAAATAAATAATGTTCTTCACAACAGAAAGAATTTTGGTAACCATGACATAAAATTTTCCAATGTGTGGTGGCATTTTACATGCAGCTTGTTATTGATGCTTATATTATATGATAGCATAAATTTTGTAAATGTCGTAAGACTTCCAGTAAAAATGTGTAGTCGTATTTTCATTTTTACCTGGCTTACCATTATCAAATATATGGGTATGTTTCTTAACTACTCCCTTTCTAATCGTTGTATATTCTTTTATTGCTCAATTTTGAGCCTATGAGCATAATTTAAATAATCGGTCACACTTAAGTTTCTATTTGCACCATTAAAGATCTAAATAGGAAAATAAATAGATAAGGAAACAGTAAGGAAATCCCTAAATATCTTAGGTTTAAGGCTGGCTGATTTGAACTTTAAAACCAAAAGATAACCAAAATAGTCTTTTTAAAATGCTGGTTTTGTCATCCTCTTCTGGAAAATCTTATGGTGCTTCTTATTGACCTACGAAGAGTAAACATTAAAACCCTGACATGGTCTCTGAGGCCGTCCTCTCTAAGTTTACCTGGTCCCACTCTCTCTGTCCCCTTTGCCCTGTGCCTGTGACTTGCTGTTCCTTTTCTGCTTCAGGGCATTTAGATTCCAGTTCAGTCTGCCCAGCTGCTGGTACCAATCCCCAGCTTTTCATTCAGTGCCGTGTGCTTATGCTCCCCATGTTCACCACCGAGGCCGCTTCCTCAGGTGTAGAAGAATTGAGGCAGGAATGGGAGAGGAGGAGGACTCACCAGGCCATGTGTTCATTAATGAATGAGGATCCTCTTTTAATGTTTCTACTGCATCTCTTCTAAGCCCCAAGAGATTGCCTTCTTGTCCCAGTACATGGGGTTTACTCTCTGTAAAATTTTCAAAGTTTACGAGTGATGCTTCTAAGTTCTGTTCTCTCTAGTTTGGATGCATAAGTCAGAACAGACACCCCTCTGTTGCTCTAGACAAGGTGCTGTGAAGCTCTGAGTGTTATGTTTTTCATTGTCTCACAAATCAGTTGCATACTTTTAATGAATTTTGTTGCCCTGTATAGATTTTCTCCAGCTTTGTTATGTCTTTCTTGAAGTGTGTGCTAGTCAAAATATAGGTTTGATATGCCAGCTAAAGTCAATTGAGGTCTTATGTGTAATTATTCATAGTTATTGAGGTCATATTTAGTATGGATAGCTGAAACCCTTAGCCATTCATTTAAGTTTATATTAAAACAAAAGTATTAAATAATCATATAGGTAACGTAGTGCTAACAAGGGTTTCGGCGTTTTTTGCTCCTAAATACGATCAGATGAAGGCTTCAGTGAGTAGCATAATGACAGGACCGGGGGATGGAGGGACTTACAGCAATGTTGAGCAAGTGGAATTGATTAGATTTGCATTTTGAAAAAAAGATTCTAAAAATATATATCAGTATTAATGATGAAAATATTTCAAAAGGTGACGTAAAAGAAGATGTGGAAACCGCATTTTAATGTTATTATTCTATACTATAAACCAATTTATTAACTTAGGATACCATTTTTCTTAACCACTCAACATCCTATATAATAAAAGGCTAATATGCAAATCAATTGAACGGCCCAATGACCGGTTGCTGTGACGCAAGCTGACTACCAGGGGGCAGACCCTCAATGCAGGAGCTGCCCCCTGGTGGTCAGTGCTCTCCCACAGGGGGAGCACTGCTCAGCCAGAAGCCCTGAGCCAGGCTCACAGTGGTGAGAGGGCACAGGTTGGGCTGAGGGACTCCCCCCACCCCTGGCTTCACAAATTTCGTGCACTGGGCCTTTAGTTAGTTATATTTGTACCTGAAATTGGACAGAAACTAGAATCTTAATTGTGTGGTAAGGGAATTAGCCATTCTCATGATTTCTGTTGGATATCTTATGTTATGTAGTTTAAAAATTAATACAGGTGGTGCCTATTAAGCATGTGGACTAGGTCATAAGCATGTGGACTAAACTTAATTGGGGGTTAGTTTTAGTGTTTATTTTCAAACCGGAGGATAACTTTAGATGTTACCTAGTTACATTATTGAATCTATTTTTCATTTAAAATATTTTCAACCTTTTATTCAAGAGAAATCTTATGTGGGACTCTAACAAGTAATAAACTCGATGAAAGCTGAATTTGCTGGAGGGTGAGGGCTGGGAGCCCGAGGGGCGATGCAAGCTTTCCTTAGGACAGCGGTTCGCAGTGTGGTCTGGCTGGGAGCCCAGAGCCCTTGCAGGAGGTCGACAAAGTCAGACTATTTTCCTAATCAGACAAAGGCTTTTTAAAGTCCGTTTCACTTAACATTCTTGATGAAGCAGTAAAAATGATTAATATTTAAAAATCTCCACCCCACATACTCATCTTTGTATTTCCCGTGTGGCAAAACAAGAAGTATTGTGCATAAGACATGTCTGCTGCATGTCCCCAGGTATCACTGGGGTCTAAGGATAACTACTTGTGTTGCTGCGTTGCTGTTGCACATTGAAGCTGGCCACTTTCTTCTTGGAGCACCTCTAATTGCAAGAACAATAACAGGTGACACAGTATGGTTTTCCAGCCTTCAGCACACGGCAGACATTTTCTAGAAAATAAACCTGCTGCTTCAAGGAAGCATTACCCATGATAAACTTCCAGCTTCCAAGTAAAAATGAGAATTTTTGAACTTGATTCTGCCACTGATCTGATTGAGCCTGACAACTTCCCAATAAAGACTGTTGTGATGGTACTGGTGGTGATGTTCAGGAATGTGATTTAGGAGATTAGGTAGTGAAATGTGCTAACATTAGGAAGATGGGCATACCTCCTGTGAACCGTGTTTTCCACATGAGCAATGTATGATGTTATAAAATCATGCATGGGTAAAACTTTGCAAGATAGAACAATGCTTTTAATGTGAGGATGACAATATTAAGGCTATTAAAATATTGCTCCCTTTTCTAATTACATGTCTTTTTTAGGATGAATTTTCTTCATATAGTTCAAGCAAGATAGCTTAGTACAACAGTTTGAACACAAGAACAGATGTTAGAATTAACCTGTCTTGTGTTAAGCTATTCATTAGAGATTTTCAAAAATGCCTATCAGTTGTCCCTCTTCTCACTAAATTCTTTAGCTTTTGAAAATACACATAATAATATTATCCTATATAATAAAAGGCTAATATGCAAATCGACCAAATGGTGGAATGACCGATAGCTATGACGCACACTGACCACCATGGGGCAGATGCTCAATGCAGGAATTGCCCCTTGGTGGTCAGTGCACTCCCACAAGGGAAGCAACCACTCAGCCAGAAGCCGGGCTCATGCCTGGTGAGCGCAGCAGCGGTGGTGGGAGCCTCTCTCGCCTCTGCCGCAGCCCTAAGGAGCAGCAAGCCAAGTGGTAAAGAGCAGCTATCAGGTGGGTGGTAAGGAGCAAGGGGTCTTGGACTGCAAGAGGGATGTTCGACTACGAGAGGGCACAGGCTGGGCTGAGGGATCCCCTCCCCCCAAGTGCTCGAATTTCGTGCACTGGGCCTCTAGTTTTTATAATAATGTTCTATTAATACATAATTGGTTTATTATCATTTTATTTTTTTTATTTTTTTTTAATTAAATCTTTATTGTTCAGATTATTACATTTGTTCCTCTTTTTTTCCCCCCATAACTCCCCTCCTCCCAGTTCCCGCCCCACCCTCCGCCCTCACTCCCCACCCACTGTCCTCATCCATAGGTGCACGATTTTTGTCCAGTCTCTTCCCGCATCTCCCACACCCCTTTCCCCCCCAGGAATAGTCAGTCCATTCCCTTTCTATGTCCCTGATTCTATTATAATCTACAGTTCATTCTGTTCATCAGATTATTTATTCACTTGATTCTTAGATTCACTTGTTGATAGATGCATATTTGTTGTTCATAATTTGTATCTTTACCTTTTTCTTCCTCTTCCCCTTCTTAAAGGATACCTTTCAGCATTTCATATAATCCTGGTTTGGTGGTGATGAACTCCTTTAGCTTTTCCTTATCTGTGAAGCTCTTTATCTGACCTTCAATTCTGAATGATAGCTTTGCTGGATAAAGTAATCTTGGTTGTAGGTTCTTGGTATTCATCACTTTGAATATTTCTTGCCACTCCCTTCTGGCCTTCGAAGTTTCTGTTGAGAAATCAGCTGACAGTCGTATGGGTATTCCCTTGTAGGTAACTGAGTTTCTTTCTCTTGCTGTTTTTAAGATTCTCTCTTTATCTTTTGCTCTTGGCATTTTAATTATGATGTGTCTTGGTGTGGTCCTCTTTGGATTCCTTTTGTTTGGGGTTCTCCGCGCTTCTTGGACCTGTAAGTCCATTTCTTTCACCAGGTGGGGGAAGTTTTCTGTCATTATTTCTTCAAATAGGTTTTCAATATCTTGCTCTCTCTCATCTTCTGGCACCCCTATAATTCTGATGTTGGTACGCTTGAAGCTGTCCCAGAGGCTCCTTACACTATCCTCGCATTTTTGGATTCTTTTTTCATTTTGCTTTTCCGGTTGGGTGTTTTTTGCTTCCTCGCATTTCAAATCATTGACT